AAAAATTTAAAAAATATACCCAAATATTATTTTAGTATTTATATTATTTATAAAATACACACAAATACGCATTATGCTATCGTCAACCATATATGCGGCTCCAACTTCCGAAGAGCTAACTGCAGATGTGACATTCATAATGCCGAAGCCATCGAAAAAGAGACGAAAGCGGCGAAAGCGTTGCGCCACCACAGCACCAACTATTTCCTCCACAACGTCCACRTCTACCATTACAAGAGAAACCGATAATACACTCTCCGTAGCCACAGTTTCCAGCAGCACCAGCCCCTGCAAGAGCATAGCAACGCGTCGCCGTGCTACCACCAAAGTGCGACGGTACTTCCAACATGACACACGTGAAATGGTCAAAACGATAACAGAGAGTGAACTCAACTATGCAGCCGTAGCGAAAAAATTTAAACCACTTACAATTGCAACGAATAGTAAAAATCAAGCACAAAAACAAAAGCGAATTGCCGCTAAACAACCGTGRCATAAACAACAGCTGAAAACGACGAAACGTCAAGAGCAAAAGCCGAAAATGCTCTCAAAATATATGGGGAAATCCTCTCCACACTTTTGTTCAAAAGCAACAACAACCGCAGCCAAATCAACGCACTCGTACTGCAAATGCGCATGTGCTTTTGCCACCGCCGCCGCCACTGCTCATGTAAAATATAAACAACAAAAAAGCAACAATTGTGACAACATGACATTTGATAACAAAACCAATGTAATGGAACAACAACAAGCTGCAGTAGTTGAATCAGCAATGATTGTCGAAGAGTTATTGCGAAAATTACTCAATGCACAGCATAATAATGCGAACGCGGTCACCTCCCAGTCACCAATGTTGAATTTATTACAAAAGACTGGCATAACTTCCGCCACTGCGCCACGCATGTCACTCCTAGATACGCTTATTGGCGAGCAATTTCAGCAAACGACAAGTCTGTGCCAGCAGCAACTTAGGCATGTCGTTAGGTATATAATTACATATTATCATACCCGCACATACATATATGTATATAGTATTAATAATTTAAAATAATATTTCAAAAAAAAATTAATGACACGTTTAATTATTTACTGCTCCATTCTTTTACAGTGTCCGTGAGACGCATCAAATTGCTGAAGCGCAACAGGAGAAAAACGCCAAACTACGTGAAGCCTTCAACATTTCCGAGTATTTTGTAGAGGGCTCCAGTTTTGATTCGGATCGCAAAGCTAAGGAAGATTTGGCTAAAAGTCTGGCGTTGCAAAAGGAACTGGATGCGCAACGCGAAAGCGCTGCAGCAAGCCGCGACAAG